ATCTAAAACGTAGTCAGGTAGCTTTGGATGGATTGCTAAGTGAGCTTAATAGAACACCATGTACACATGCTAAGATATTGTATTGTAATTAGAATGATATGGCCCATTACGTATAAAGTAGTTATCGTTTCATACAAATACTACATAATGTTACAGCTAAATTGTAGAAATACATATCGAATGTATTTTAACTTAAATAATGAAAATATAGCACGGTGGTAAAAGTAAAATAATTTCTGACAAAAAAGACACCAATGGTGAAATGTATGAACACAATACTTACTTTCATCATTATTATTATTGCTAGCACCATGCTCAATATATCTTGATTTGATTTCCTGTTCCTCTGTGGTTTCTGTTATTAATTATTAAGCACTGTGCTGATGTTGAACAATGACAACTAGTGTCGATATACATTCATACCAAGTTTTAAAATGATGTATTTTTGTATTTCCCTATGTGTTACACACTCTAGTAGAGGGCTGGCTCTGTAGCTAAAGCGTTGAAATCTCAAGCAGTATGTCTCAAATTAAAATCCTGCCTCCACTTAGGCGACGGGATGGTATCACTATCTCTCATATTTGGAGTACGGTTTGAAGCCAAGTACGTGGATCTGTGCCTGATAAATGAGTCAGGAAATCAGTTTACTCACACTAGTATTCCCTTCTTCTATCAAGCTAGGTGCTAATCGTTAATTTAAAATGACAAATTAAAGCGTATTAGAAAATTGTTAAAATTAGTGACTAATTGAATCAATATGAAGCTTTCAATAAACAGTTTTTATTAAGAGCTTTATGTACTTCTTATCGTTGGCTAATTTCTGTTTAGGATTAAACATATGATATTTGTTAGATTTAATGTGAGGAAGGTCAACTGTAAATGACTCATTATTGGCAAACTTGTGACCGACGTTTATGGAAATAAGGGAAGCTGAAAGGTTGTATGTAACGTATTTCTGACCGGTTTAAATGTTTTCGTACTATACATCGTTTATTTCTTTCTTTATAGTCTATTCTTTGACCTCATTTACCAAAAGTAGATTCGCGTAGACAACTTAAGGTGTTTGAGATAATACCTGGTTATCCAAACCGAATTAGGAATAGCGGGATTCGAACCTGAGACAGGAGACAGTGGGAAGCGGAGTGCCTTAAACACAAAGTCTCCTTCATGATCACTAAACATTGAGTATAAGCCGATGTTATGTTCCTTTACCCTTAGTGTTCGCTGAATTCGATAGATCAATTCACACTATGACTTTAAACTGAGTGGCTTAACAGTACAGTATAAATTTTGTAACCAATTCAGTTTCACAGATCAGTTACGGGCCAAATAGCTGAATGTTAACGCCACTGAACCTAACGATCTTAGAGATGAGATTGAACATCACGCATGGAAATTGTTGGTACACCTTGAGGATAAGTGTTAACTAGCACAAAACCTAGTTTCAGGACTTCTTGATAATTGCTTCCAACCACCTATCATAAATATCTGGAACTCCAATTAGACTTTACTAAAACTAGTACAAAAATCCGACTGGTACTCGTATTTCCTCCATATATTACTCTAGATCTCGAAAATGGAATGTGTGTGATGAAGGATTTCGAAAAAACGATAATATCTGTTTTCATAGCTTAACAACTTAATTCAACAATTTAGAATAAATCATCAGTCTGGTTGAATTTGAAAAATCCCCAGTCGTTGAATCAATAAGGATTGACAAAATGAAAATGTAATTACAACCAGATTCGAACTTCATACATTTGATCCTAAAAGAAACGGGCCCTAGATATTGTCAAACTAGTTTGGGACTGCCACAATATCTGGATGGCTAAAACTTTATACTTCTCAACTAATGAAGTATCTGTAGTAAGTAATTACCTATAGATGAATTTGTGCAATAAGTCCTTATACTGTTGCACACAAAGTTTTAGGAGGGCTATAATCAAAACAGATAACTGTGTATATAACCAACAATAATTATCCGTTTCTAAAATCGAACCTTATACAATTAGTGCAATTTCATGACTGATAGTGAAATAAAAAGGGTCAGAGTAAGAACTAGTCTAGGACTAAATGAGTCTTATATAGTAGGCGTTTAACTCAAAAAAATATTGGTTGATTCACTCTTATCGATAGAAATTAACAGTATCTGTGTGAACATTTGAATTTTATTAATAATCTACTTTGTGTAGCGGTGAATTCACATTGAAATAATCTAAATTCTAACTTTTGAGTCTCAGTTTTGAATCCATCTCATCTCTTTAAGTATGAGTAACATCATAATACCCTAAAGAAATTATGGTTAAAAGCCAAATAAATAAAGCTGAACTTGGTTATTAAGTTGTATTAATTAGTTAAATCTTTCTGAAAATTCCCATTTTGACATATAATCAGAAGAACAAATGAACAGAATGAACTTCTTTCCAGTTAGTTTTCCATGATGTCTGTACATCAATATATATTTGATTTACAGCAATGAAAATTTTTCGGGTAATTGAGTAACGTAATAATTGTGTAGTGTCACAGTAATTATAAACCAATGTTGAATATTTAGAAGAAAGGGGATCATGATAATCAAAATAATTATTAGAAAAACTCAGTTAAACGGTTGTTAAAATATATAATGTATAAAGAGTTCACAAAATTTTTTTTATGAAAGGTTAATATTATAGTAGCTATGTAAGATCGTCGCTGTAGTCTAGTGGTTAGGATATTGTGTTGTGGCCTCATTAACCCAGGTTCGAGTCCTGGCAGCGACATTCCATTTAGCCCCCAAATGCCCTGGTACGGCCTAGAGCAGGGAGAATCCGCTTTCCCTCTCGAAATACTCTCACATGGCCACGCGAATATATAGCCTCTGCCAGAGAAGTTCTACTGACTGCCTTCTCGTGGCACTACTGTTGTTTACGAAATTGAGAGGACGGAAACCGAATGTCAGGCTATTTAACCGCGTTGGTGGACACGGCAAGTCCACATAGGGGAGTTGGAAAACCCTGATTCCAAACCAATGGTGTACATAGGCTTCAGTATTCTGTAGGAACAAATGGCGTATGAACCAATCGTTGATCACCGGCTACCATGGAACTGCATCTCCTCACGATGCTCCACTGCCTTGCGGACTAGACCTTCAGGTCGAAGGCTCGGGGAGTGGTCCCCTAAGAAAACCACCTGCTTCGGTTTGGGCACCTGAACAGTATCACTGACCTTATGCAAATCAAATGAGATTTGTGCAGCGCATATGTATCTGGTGCTTCCTTGTACCAATATTTATGTGTTTAAATAAATAAATAAATAAAAAGAATCAAAAGACAGATGTTGAACAATATGTAGAAATACAAAAAATGAGAGAGAGAATAAGTTTATTCAAAGCTCAGCTAAAACAAAAGAATGGTTGAAATCAGTTAAATTCTTAGAGTGAGCAGAAACATTACGATTACTGTTATCTGTAATTAATGTGGTTAAATATATTCCTTCGTATCACCACTTCTAAGAAATCCTAATACATAGATCAGGGTTTATATTTTATGATTTTCCATTTTGTTTTCTAACTACTTAATATTATTCAAGTAATATGATAACATGCCCCGTTTTTACAGAACACTGACTTCAGCTGATTGAAGATTGAGTACAAAGGAAATGTGTGTTGTTGTCTCGGTTTATTTTGCTAATCTTCAGAATTATTTATCCACAAACACACAGAGTATCAAATTTAACGCATTAGTATCTCAATCATAACAAGATATCAATCATCTTCTTAGATCGAGTCTACCGATATTTATTCTTTAGTTGAGGCTTCCAGTCTATACATGTTTTTTTTAAACTGAAGTTCAAAAACGTCAGTTACTGTGTTTAGAATAGCTTAATGATATTTTGATTATTTCAGGACTTCAACATTATTTTTCAATCATATTATCATATCATATTTGTGAACGACTTGATTCTACAATAATAACGAACTGACTTTTAGGTAATTTTGTATTTTTAATGGTTTACAGTAGATTTTAATCCTTGATGAGCAATTGCTCTTGGTTTTGCAAAGTTCTTCACAGACATGAAGAAATGGGCCACAATTTAGAGCATGGACCATTGAACTTAGTAATATAATAATCATCTGTCCTATATGATTATACCTACCAAGTTCTATTATTTGATCGTTAGAGTCTTGTGGCAAAATGTGTGATTATAGTTTGGAAATTACTCTAGTTAATATTAACTACATGTATATTATATATCTATGCTTCCGAGGGAAGCTTCGCGTATATAATAATGTCCTTAGTACAGTAAAAGTGTTTGCTACAAAGATTTAGTTGTATTCGAGTTTTTATCTTTTTTGCAAAGTATCTAACCTCATCCATGGCTTAGATGCAAGCATAATATCAACTATATATTGTTTCATTTATTGTTTATCTACTAGATGTATTTCGTGGATCGATTGAAGTTAGACATTAACACCACTGGATGCCGGCTCAGTAGTCTAGTGCTTAAGCTCCCTCGCGCGAAACTGATAGGTCCTGGGTTCGAATCTCACGAGGCGAGACCGTGGATGTGCATTGCTGAGTCCCACAATAGGACGAAACGGCCGTCCAGTGCTTCCAGGTTTTCCCTGGTGGTCTAGCTTCAATCGATTCATGATCTCAACTATCAAGATGTATTTCTGTCGGAAAGATTATTATTATCAGAATAGGTTTTATGGAGATTTAGTATTTTCATAATTGAAAGCGTGGGTCATTTGAAGCTAGACCACCAGGGAAAACCTGGAAGCGCTGGACGGCCGTTTCGTCCTATTGTGGGAACCCTCAGCAGCGCGCATCCACGATCCCGCCTCGTGAGCGAGATTCGAACCCAGGACCTACCAGTCTCGAGCCGAAGCCCTTAACCGATAGACCACTGAACTGGGCGGCATCCAACGGCGTTAATGTCTAACTTCAACTGATCCACGAAGTTGAGCAACCTTTCACCAATTGTCTTCAATGAGTTGATATCTTACAACAAACGTAGTTTGAACTCCACTGGTCACTGCTTCCTTGTTGGTTATCCATTATTCATTTTTACAAATACAAATACTATTGAACTTATCTGTCAATGTACACATTGTAGTCATTGCTGTAAACACAACTAAATAATCTCTGTGCTTAAATAAATAATCTTGTTTTTAATTGGTCATTTAGTAAACAAAATTGTAAATTTCATGAGCCATTGTTTAAAGAATTATTCCAGTGAAAAACTCATTTATATCTATGTGGGCGTGTGAATATCTGTCAGTTGATGTATATATAATTCATCTTATTCTGGACCAATCAGATTATTGTATTTGATCTGTGTTGTTTTAGACATGTACACGAAGGTCACACATCGGTCTATAATAATGATAGGGTTGAAAATAATGATTCACAATTTAGTTCATACTTAGCATTGTAGGCTGAGTATGGTAGCGAAGGATTTCATTGAATTTTTCTCTAAATACAGTTATGGGAATCGTGTAGCTGTTGAGGATTTTTCCGATCGTCTTAACTTATTTACAGTTGTTTTATTCCTCTTATCATGTTTAATTGTGTCAACAAAACAATATTTTATGAGTTCGATCTCATGTTATATTCCGGTAAAGCCTACGGGCGATAATTTTAATGCTTATCTTACTGATTATTGTTGGGTACATGGTACAATTCCTCTGAGGCCAGATGAAAAATTACCGGTGACTCGTGAAGAATGGGATGAGTATGATCGCGTAAGACGTATAAGTAAGCTTGCAAATATTTTCTGATTTTTAACTTTTGTCAGATTATAATTTGTATTGTGCCTAATCCAGAAAGCTATGTTGAAATCATATACTGTTTCTGCATTGAAGAGATTTTCTTGATGATAGCTTATTTTAACATGTTAAATTACCATAAGGATACACTGATTGAATTTTCTTTTATCAGTGGTTAGAAGTTATACTTTGTGTCAGTTGACTGCCTCTCCTCTGAGGGCATCATTGTACATCAATCTAAGTACATAATAAAGTAAAAGCAAAATTTTTACATGGTTGAGTTTGAAAACGTTGACTTGAGGTCTTCAATTTAAAAGAGACAGTGCATATCACTGATTGCTAGGTCTTGTGTTGTCCTACTAATAAACCTGCATAAGTTCGCCTTCAGTCCTTCACTTACCTGGCTTAACGACAGAGCTTATTGAGGAGTGCCATCTAAGTCGAGTGTATCATATAATCTGTATCAAAACTGTCCACTAACCCCTTTTTCCAAAAAGTATATTTTTCTTTGAGTCCCAACTTATTAATTTCAATCAGTGACTGAAGAACATATTGTGTACTTTCAAGTTGATCATTCTTTTTGAGGATATTTCGTTAATTACTCCCAACTACAAACATATTAACCTTTTAATAGTTATGATGTTATGCCCTAATACTGTAACTTGTTTAGAATACCCTATGATCACCTTAAAACAGCTTATTTCAAATTATTGATCTATTTTGAGCATCTTATTCTTTCAATATACTTTTGATCATTAATGATACTATCTATGTGTTCAAAATAATCATTCATTATTTGCATAAAATCACGCAAGATGCGTGGATATATTGTATAATGAACAAGTTTTTATTTTTTGTCTAGCATTAACCAATTACATTGTTATGTGCTGTATGTTTATAAGGTGGGTGTAACTATAAGTACAAAACACACAAGGTTTGCATGTACAATGCTTTGTCTAGGAACTATTGATTAGTTTTTATTTGTGACTTTTTTGCTCGTAAATGTTTATTCCTCAAAAGTGTCCTTAATTGCTTTCACAGCAAGTTGACATGTGCTACTCATTTTCTGTCCCACATGAACATGTTGTGTAATGAACACATCTTTATTCTAACTACGGGTATGTTCCTAGGTTAATAACTCTTAGGGGTCCCCTGTGATGACTATCTATCTGAAGCAGTCTTGGTTGATACTGATTGACCTTGCGGTATTGCTGTAAACTAGAAATCACCAAACAGTGTAACTATTATCGGGCCAACCTTGAATAAATTTAAACCTATCTGTGTATACTAGTTTTAGTAGTATTACTGACATTTCGGTAAGGCATCTCAATGACCTGAACTTTTTTGATGGGTGAAATTCTCTAATCATCCAAATAGAGCTATGAGACAACGATCTCTATAATTAGGATTATAATCCTACCAACATCCCTATTATCTAGTGAGTGACTAAGTGGTTTTTCTAGGTTTTTTATAAACGAACGAGAATGAAATAAAAGTTCTCATCTATGTACATGTTGCATGCAATCTTCACGTGCAAGGTAATCATTCGCTTTTTTTACTTCCACACTGTTATTTCTTCTTCATATTAAAAGTAACTTTCCTTATCAATCATAAGCGATCTTGGGATATATTTTTTTGAGGTAAATATCGTGATCCCTTTTCAACTACAAATACTTTACTATAGAAGTGTAATAAAGTAATCCACTTCATTGACTACATCCCACCAAAAAAATTCATTTCTTAGCTCTAGTTTTCATTCTCTGTCAACCTTTTGCGTATTGATCAGATATTTGATTTATTCATAACTAATATTCTTGCTTTTTTGAGTTCTTCGAAAAAATATTTTGTCTTTGTTTTTCCTGTTTTACAATTCAAATGAAAACAATTTGCGGTGCATACATATATGCTGAGAGTTTGTGTAATTTATTAGTCTTGTTTTCCCACTTCTCTCTATCTTAAATGTGCACAGGTACATAATGTGAAATTAAATTAAATACATAGATTTTTACATAGATCTTTTTTTGAAATTGCTATACTTTGTTGGATAAATTGGTCGTTGTTTATCATCGTGTCTCTTGCTCTATGCGCGTTTACACGTTTACATCATTAAATATTCGGTTATATCATCTAATCATGTTTATCGTACAATCGATTAATCGTCTTTATCGAGGTGATTTGCATATTAGTTTAATATGACTTTAATGATTTCAGCATATATTTGGATTTTAACTGATAATGGAATCTGAAAACTCTCATTCCGTTTCGTTCAGATCTCGTCATCTGGATGTCTTCAGACCTTAATTTTGATGACAGCACCGAGACTCCAAACCATAACTTCTCTTCTTCAACGACAATGCATTATTCATTGCTGACCATAAATTAGAGATCATAAAAACATGTGACTAAATAAAAATAGATCCAAGACGTATCTCTCCAAATGTACCTATGCTAATTAAGACTGGTCGATAGCATTCCTTAATATGAGCAATGGGAAAATATCAATCCTCACACAGTCTTTTTAGCGTTTAGTATTAAATTGTACAATAAATTTATTTGTTAACTGCTTACTGAATAATTATTGATCTACAGTGTTTAAAAACAAATCTATGGGATTTAGGAAGTCAAAAAGTTTCATCTCTTAACAATTCATTAGTTTGATTCAGCAATTAGCATTCAAGCTGTTTTCATAATTCAAGATAATAATTAATATCATTTTAATTTGCGGAATTCTCTTTCTCACCTTACTCGATTAAGTAGCCGTTTCTCTAATAATTATGTAATACAGTTGCTCTGTTGTTATCATCGTACAAAAGAAAATTATCTTTTACTGTATGTGTTTAATCCTACAGCCTATTATCAGTGGGTACCATTTGTTCTCGGGCTGCAATGTATATTTTTCTACATTCCACATATTGCATGGCAGGCTGTATGTGCCCATAGATCCGGTGGAGATTTGTTTGCTCTTGTAAAAGCCGCTGCTGATGCCGCAATTTCTGAACGTGGTCCTCGTAAGAGTCAAGTTAAACGTGTGGCTGAATTTTTGGAAGATATGATTGATGGTCATAAGGATTGTCGACATGTAAGTTGATTGATTAGTGTATATGGTGATATGAAATCGCTTATTGTTTCTAGTGTTTATTTCTAAGTAGGAACGTCACCAGGTCACATTGTTGCCTATTTATTTGGGCAAAGTTTTACTTATTTCGAAAGTTTATTTATTTGAACACAAATATTCTTACAAATGGGGCACCAGATACATATACGCCACACAAATCTCATTTCATTTGTGTGAGAGCTGTGGTACTGCCCGGGTGCCCAAACCGAAGCAGGTGGTTTTCTTAAGGGGCCACATCCAGAGCCTTTGACCTAAAGATCTCATCCACAAGGCAGTGGAGCATCGTAAGGAGATGCAGTTCCATGGTAGCAGATGATCAACGATTGGTTCATACGCCATTTGTTCCTTCAGGATACTGAAGCCTATGTACACCATTGGTTTGAAATCAGGGTTTTCCAACTCCCCTATGTGGACTTTCCGTGTCCACCAACCCGGTTAAAGTGCCAGACATTCGCTTTTCGTCTTCTCAATTTCGTAAACAACAGTAGTGCCACGAGAAGGCAGTGAGTAGGACTTCTCTGGCAGAGGCTATATATTCGCGTGGCCATGTGAGAGTATTTCGAGAGGGAAAGCGGATTCTCCCTGCTCTAGGCCGTATCAGGGCATTTGGGGGCCGTTAACTTATAAGTTTTCAAGTTCATTTATTCAGTGAGTCGCACACATACGTATATAAAGGAAACTTGCTTAAAGTGAAGTACCAATGTTTAACTAAATGTTTTTTTCACACATCCTGTCATTAAATTATCTTATATAGGTGACTGTTTCTAAATTTCACTTTATGATAGAGGAAGTTTGGCCGATTATCTGGATTCATTCATTTAAACATTGTCAAATATATGCATATTAAATTTGTTGCAGTTTTAATTAATCAGCCGTCCATGTGACGGGATACAGAATATTTAAAATATTCGAATTCGAAATCCTTCGGTTTATACTGACTTGAGTAGTTGGATATTATCAGTACTAAGCTTTACACTAAGACTAAGACTCCATCTGAATAAGTATATGTTCACCAATTAATTTGTATTAATGTTCAAAAACATTTGTTTCGGATAATCAAAGATTACAATGATGTCAATTTGAGAAATCTATAACAAATCATAATGTTTATTGATTTTCAACTTACAACAAAACGTGAAAGTTCTAGGTTACACATCAGTATTTATTAAGAGTACCTAAGGTGCTTAGCTGCCTTCTATTTTAACAGGTACACATCAGCTAAACGTATATTTGCCGTTGAATTTTACTGAAGGATACCCAATTTTATTAGCATCTAACTGTTTTTGTTCATCAAAATTAGAAATGGAAGTTTTTCCTATAGAAAATGTTGTCAGTGTCATAACCTAACATACAATCTGTATAGTTTAATTAGTAATAATTGGAAATGAAGTACATATGTACCAGGTTTCACAGTGTTCACGACCGACTAGTTGAATAGTATAACCGTTACTCATTCATGAACTGTAAAGTTGTATACTTAACTTTGAGTCTCATATTCATATGTGTGGATCGTTGATACTAGTCAGCCACCCGAACTAACTTACGTAGGGCATAGATCGAACCTACGACCTAGTAGTTAGATGTTGAACAGCAGCACCATTGCGTTTGTTGCCTAAACAACCTAACTAACTATTTTTACACCTTCACAGCTTTCGCAAATCACAACGCACATCTAACGATGCTGTGAACTATTAAATAGTTTGTTGTCCATGGAGTCAGCCTTCTTTTAGAATAAAAATCTTTGTTATCAGTACCATGTACTGAAAGTTATTGTGATATGCCTATGACGTGTTCATTTAGCACACAATCGTATTCATTACTGAGTTGCTTATTTCAAGATTTATGTATCTTCTCGTTTGTATAAGATCTAAACTCAAAAATTCTTTTATTCTATCATGTATATGAAATTGTTTACCTAAATTAAAATAAATTTAAGATCCTCAATTATGGCTCATACTATTCGAACTTGACAGTTAATTGGTGAGTTCTTTTGGTCTTTTGCCTTAAATATTATAACGTCCATTATTTTTTCTGATGAAAAGGCAAATTGTAAATTATCTTACCCAAGTATTTTGACTCAACCTTACAATCTCCCGTTTTTTTTTCAATATAGGGTCGTCGGATGAATTTAACTAGACGTGCATATGACATGTGTGGTATATGTGTTGTTAGTAAACGACTTGGAACATGCCTTGTATTTTCATATTTATGTGTTAAAATCATAACAATTATCAATGCAATTATGCAAGTATATTTGATTCAACGTTTTCTTGGTTTCTATGCTGATGGAAGTGCCGGACAGAAAAGTATGCAATTAGGGAAACCATACGAAGCTAACTCGGCAGGTAAGTGAACATTCATGCTTTCTTTTTTGAGAAGTGCATATTCCAAGTAAGAAAATTAAATTGTTTTTACATTTCTCAACATCGTCTAACTAAAATTACATGTTTACTTCGAATTCACAGTACTTAACTGAACCTATCAATTGTATATACTTTTCTAAATACAATAATCCTGAAATGTAGAAACAATCTCATCATGAAGGAAGGTCATATAGTACTAGTATTTGCCAGTTCATCGCGACTGAGGTTGAGGTCCTTGATATGGTTCAACCCAGTGGCTTGAAATGTTAGTCAAACATGGCTGAGAATATATGCTGATGATAATCTTGTTCTAATTTTCTTTTACATTTCCCACAAATGGGAGAACCCCCTTAACTGGAAGAGGATTCTCAGTTGTGTTTTTAATTGAACTGCATCTCCTATTGCATACTATTCTTTGACACACTGAGCTAATCACGTTTCGTCAGTAAACTTCTTTTCACTTGAGTACTCGGTTGGACTCATGTATTGGAAGATTGGTTATATCGGTAGCAACTCGCTAACACTCCAGGTGACAGGATTCCTGTCCACCCAATTTTTTAATGAACTCCCCTATTCTTCTTTGTCTGTTCATTTATGCGACGCATAAAGTTTCTTCGTGCTCAGTTGTCCGATAACCTGTGGGTATAAGATAAATGAAAATTACTCTAATTCCAAACAGTAGTATACTTAAAGTCAGTATCTAAAAAACACCACTTCGGATTCATTTCATGTTTTTTGAGTTCAGTGGAAACATCTTCAGTTGATATAGTGAAGTACAATATTCATACGTACGCATCCAATTAGTAAATTTTCAGCATCAATTAGGGGACGAGTATACTGCGCACCATATTGCTCAACTGATAGGGGAGATTTTCTCTAACAAAATTTATAGCAGTAATCAAACACTATTAACATATGTCCCAGCCAACTTAGTAAATAAAGATTCGCGACCTCATCTGATTTTCCATCGTTTCTTGGTATTTTATGACTAACATCAGCACTGCCCACTTTATCGTTCCACTGTACCAAACAATGTTTGAAAAACATTTATGATTAAAAACCGACAGCCCATGCATGTCTCCTACTTTCATTAACCATGCTACCCGGCTATAGAGTTGTACAGAGGGGGATCGTCATGCAGTATCCTCAATCTTTGGTCGGCAGACGAGCAATTCTCTCATGCCATAATTTACTCAAGTTGACAAAGCTTAATCGGGATTTGTAAATCTATTCGGATGTTTCATCAGATACTAACCCGTAAGAATTGATAACTTCTTCAAAATAAATAAAGCCGATGAGACTAAGTGCTTCACTCCCTATCATTAGTTTAGGCGTTGATGCAGACTTATTATATATTTGTATTTATACTATAATTACAAAATGATTTATTAATAATATTTGGTTTTGATTTTATTCTTTTCACATAGTTGCAGCAATGTCGAATCAAGAAAATGAAGATTTAGAAGGTTTCGGATTCGGATTAACTGTTGCCAACCATATACGTGCTGGACGCGATTGGCCAGAGACAATTCTATTCCCACGTGTAGCTTATTGTCGTGTCCCAGGTATTCGCTTAGTAGGTGCTGAAAATGCTTATACTGCACAATGTGCATTACCTATAAATATGTTAAACGAGAAAATTTATATATTTTTCTGGTTTTGGATCTGTTTCCTCATAGCTGCCAGTATATTTAGTTTACTATTATGGTTAGTAAGAATGGTTATTGCACCAAGGCGTAAAGATTTTATTAAACGTTTCTTACGTATTAAAGGAATACGTTCAAGAACCGGTCAGGAGATTACGCGTGCTGATTTGGACGAATTCATTGATGATTACCTTCGCCGAGATGGTGTATTTTTAGTACGTATGCTGGCCATCAACGCTGGTGATGTGATCACATCTGAAATTGTTATGGCTTTATATGAACATTACATTGATAATGTTTATTCAGTGGATAATACCCCACAGAAAAGTCTAGAGAAAGAACCATTGAAAGATGGATCAGGTATACCATCAAATTATGTGTAAAGTTATTCTTGTGTCCTCTCCTATATATGTGTATTTTTCATTCCTCAACTATTGCTCATCAGTATATAGTTACACTATAGCAGTATTACAAACAATAGTAGTAATATCTTACTAGGTAAAAGCTTAGCAAGGAAGTGTACAACACAAAATTGATTTTTTTTCTACGAATATAACAAATCTACTTTTAATTCTTGTTATATTGTATTATGGTTTTTGTTTGCACAGTTTAGAATTTCTTCCTACTTTTGTATGGTTTAACTTTTTTATCAACGAAACTGTACCACTTTTACTACTACTAATACTGATTTCAAATGCCTTACTTTTATAATGGTTTTTTTTAGCTTTTATTATTATTATTATTATTATTATTATTACTATTACTATTAGTAATACTCTTGTCAACCAGTTTTTAGATAGTATGTACGTGAAGATCTGGATTTGATCGACCTGTTTTGAAATTGTGCCTATTCCTTCTTTTTATAATAATTTTTTATATTACTATTACTACAGTACTATTTCTATTGTTATTATCATTGCTAAGATGCCTACTACTAATTACTATTATTATTATCATTTTTATTGTTCGTATCTATCTTCTTTCAAAACCAACAATTTAATTGTACTGAAATGATTGCGATCCTGACAATTTTTACACTTTTGTGACGATTAATAAAAATAAAGGAATCTGTTGGGACTTTATACATTTGTTTTGGAAAAGAAGTGAACGGGGGGGGTATAATTTGTTTTTCGTGTATTAAAAAACTGGGAGTTATGCGTCTTCTCGCTTCAAAAAAGTGTTATGTCAAGTATTTGATAATTGAGTTGCTAGGCGTGTGAAATTTAGCAGTCGGTAGTATATTCAATAACTCTGAGATGCCACTTTGTCTCCATAATATGCATTCTTCAGTCAGTTTCGTGTCACCTATCTTATGTAATTGTAGTGTTTAACATTAGATAACATTACGAGTTACGGCAAAATGAAAGTACCGATTCATGTATTGGTAGTTTAGTACTGTTAGATAAGTTTAGTGTCAACCATAAATGAAAATCGTAGTCACACTAACAATTCGTAACAGTCTTATAATAATATTTAGTGCAATTAGGGTTATTTTATAAAATTCTGCCTCATCTCCATTTCCATTCAGTTCTACCTTTTTACTGAAGTATGTTGGTATTTTATCTATAAAACCATTCCTACCACATCAATTTACACAAACAGGCCACCGTCAACGTACCACTAGAATAGTGATAACGGCTTTGTACTTCCATTTTTAGTAATGCATATTTCCGAGATCCGATTATTTTTTTATTTTATTTAAACATAAATATTGGTACAAATGGGGCACCAGATACATATACGCCGCACAAATCTCATTTCATTTGTGTGAGGGCTGTGATACTTCCCAGGTGCCCAAACCGCAGCACGTGGTTTTCTTAGGGGGCCACACCCGGAGCCTTTAACTTGAAGGTTTGATCTACAAGGCAGTAGAGCATCGTAAAGAGATGCAGTCCCATGGTAGTCGGTGACCAGCGATTGGTTCATACGCCATTTGTTCCCTTAGGATACTGGAGCCTATGTGCACCATTGGTTTGGAATCGGGGTTTTCCAACTCTCCTAGGTGAACCCTTCGTGTCCACCAACCCGGTTAAAGTGCCGGACATTTTCTTTTCGTCCTCTAAATTTCGTGGACAGCACCCCCACCACGAGAAGGCATTGAGTAGGACTTCCCTGGTAGAGGCTATATACACGTGACCATGTGAGAGTATTTGGAGAGGGAGAGCGTACTCTCCACGCTCTCGGCCGTACCAGGGCATTTGGGGGCTCCGAGATCCGAACAGTGTCCTGACTGTTGTGAGAGCAAATTTATTTTCATATTCCATAATCGTCTCCATGGTTAAATACTAGCCGGAATTTCGCTGATTTTGTTGCAATATCGTTTCTTTTAAATGATTAAAAAGTGCATATGTAGTTTACAACTAACTAATGTTCAGAACAGATGATTCTTCCAGTAATTTTTTAGTGAACCCACTTTAAAGATGTAATCTATCTCCGAAATCCTCATCCTGAGATAAAAATATTCTATATCCTATTTAATGAGGAGTGACAATTACCAAAATTATCGTTCACGCTTGTGACACTATTTGGTGATTTAAACTTGTATAAGTGGAGTGGTTTGACCTCATAATTATTAAAAGTTGAATGTTTATGTCACTTACGAAATTCCTCTCAAAACCATTACCAATTAATAATCATAACATTCACTTACAAAACAATGTATATAAAGCCGTCAACTTGTTAACCACCTTACAACTTAGACAAATTATTGATTTCTTTGTATGGTGATAAGAATGAAATATATCTGTTTATTAGTAAAGTTGTAGGTTTGGTGGATGCGATTACGTCCTGATCAATTTAACTTGTAGAATTTTGAAGTAGATATTTCGCAAACATTTGTCTAAAACAGTTTATAAAATCCCTGACAAGTGAAATGACCCGTGTCAATAAGTCCATATTACGTGGTTGGAATCCACGCAACCATCGTAACTAGTGTTTAGAGACTGGTTGATGTGGCCCAGAATCTGTTTGACTGACCTGGATTCATTTACTTTTAATGTTTACTGAGATCTTGGATGTCAAAATTATACATTACACCTAACGAACTCATTCTCGAATTATTTTGTCTAAGTTGAGTATATTCTGCTACTACTACTACTGGAATTTGTTTGACAATGCCTTCGCATTTTGTTAATTTGGTACGGAAACGTAAGCCGATCGATATACATACCGGATTTTTCGTTGTTTAAGACTGACTGATATTTTTTTTGGGGGGGGGAGCTATTTGTTTGAACAGGCTTTATCAATATAAAAAGTTGTACAGATATGATGGAATTGTAGAATATATTAATATAGATCATTGGTCTATTGGAGGTTTCTTTCATCAATATCATTCGTACATCGTTCCATTTAATTCAACATATAACTTACACGATATTATGATTATTGGATATTATAATCGAGATAGAATTTCAGAAGAGATCTCTGCAATACGATTACCATTTGCTTACAGCACAGCTGTTCGCTATTAACTCAAAACTTGAGTTAATTATCCATGAAAGTCCATAGAAAATTCGGATGAACATCTGCTTTTACTAACACCAATAAATAATCGGCAAATGATGTATATAATGGTAGAACTAATTATTAATGAATTCACTGAAAATCCAGGCTGCTTTAATTTCTCAGACATCCAATTTGACCATGAAGCTAGTTAAACAGTAGGTGATATCGTGCTTTTCAAATTATTAACGTCTCGAACTCTGTCAAATCAAGACCACCTATACAAAATGATCCAAAATTTATAACACCGTATTATCCGAAATCTTAGCTAACTGATTTAAGGGGATTATATGAAACTGAAGAATAGTATTCTACAATTTCAGTCATGCATAAAGCAATGAACCCACTTAACTGTTTGTGTGAATAATTTTACTTTGAACAACGTTTATTTTATGGTCATGATTGAATCGTTTTTCCACTAGACTTATATTCATTTCAGTGACAAAAGACAGTCAGATATAATTTATTATTATCATAATTATCAGACCGGTCCTACTTTTGCTTTATTTACAACCCACTAAAAAATTTGTACAACCTATTATGAATAGTCATTCATTGACCTGAAACAACAACACGACCTTTGAACTTTTTTTAAAGGTTTATGCTACGTATGGATTCTGTCTTCCATTTAAATTTCATCAACCATAAAGGATAGAATTTGTGTCCAGTAGTTTATAAAATTTGTTAATAACACAACAGTTGTTCTGATGAAATTATGAATATCTAGAGAAATGTGTATGAAGGAATAAGTTTTTTTTAAAAAATTAAAAAAACTAGGAATATTTGGTCGAACTATTGTTTCTCGATTTTCTTGGAGTTTTGTTTTCTGAGCTGGATGGTTTGGTCGTGAGGCTCTCATTGTTTATTCTGAACTACATCATCAGTACAAACCTTAGGTAGAAGTGAAGTGTTCCAATTTCTCTATATTTAGCTTACACCTTGTCCTGTATGCCTCGATGTTGATTGGTTTTTGTTGACCTTTAACATGTTATTGTTTACTTCTTTATTTTGGTCGTATCTCCCTTTGATTTTTGGTGTTTCTTGATATCAGGCTAAACGATTAATCTTAAGATTCATTCAACTTGTGTCATCTATTAGTTTGAATGTAATGAATCATGAAAGGGATGTTTGGTCAATTACAATAATAATAATACTTAGAACTCTATATGAATTGAAAAATATAAAATATACAATTAAGAATGGGGTAAGATTAAAATTTTATAACAAGGCTACTGTATGACATCAATCTGAAAATGTGTGCATTAGTATATATAAACTAACAAATGAAATATGAAATAATTTATATAAAGCGCGGACAATATCTGCGGGATAACATTACTTACGCCTGTTACTCCTCGTGGAGGGGCATAGGCCGTACACCAGCATTCTCCATCCATCTCTGTCCTGAGCAATTCTTTCCAGTTGTTTTTCATCCTTTTCATATCTGCTTCTATTTCCCGGGCGTGGGAACGGCAGTAACTCTAGAAGAGCTACAGGCGGAGTTGCAGGATAACACGAATTCATTATATTCCAAAGGCTCAGTTAAAAACAACTTAATTTTACATGAGCAATATTATCATAAAAGGTTTTACATGTGCCGAACTCAATGGAGTTTAGTTCGAAACGACAGATGAAACAAGAAAAGAAAGCAACATAATAAACATGATAAGAGTGACTAGTATTTAGACAACTGGATCCCGGCTCACTGGTATAGAGGTTAAGAGTTCGCACATGAAACCAAATGTACTGTAAAAACGGTCCTTTTTCCTTTTTACACTAATGGGACGTTAATTTACCTTAGATGAATATCTACACTAGATTCCCTCCTAGTGTCTATTCTACAAGACTTCAACACAACTCAGATCAAAATCACGTAATTAGCCTGAGACTAGAACGTAAATATATTTCCACACCAAAACCTATACAATTCAACAATAACTGGACAATCAATAATAACAAATAACAAGGGTAGGGGAAAACATAACTCATCTGACACCTGTCAGACTACCTACATGTCTGACTAAGCAAACAACCAATCATTATCATTCTCGCCCACACATCAGGTACTGAGACTGATTTCTGACTGCGATGCCATGAATGGACACTACTGAGAAGTCCCATACTAAGACGAAACGGCCGTTCAGTGCCTTCAGGTTTTCAATAGTTATCTAATCTAGATCGTTTCATGGTTTCACTAGTATTTATATGTTGAAGATCAAGCCATAAAAAGAAAGGTTTGAAGTTATAAATGATAATAAAGAGAATAAAAACAAATTGTTAACAAATGGGTAATAACCAAGGCACCTTACTTACTTACTTACTTACTTACTTACTTACTTACTTACTTACTTACTTACTTACTTACTTACTTACTTACTTACTTACTTACTTACTTACTTACTTACTTACTTACTTACTTACTTACTTACTTACTTACTTACTTACTTACTTACTTACTTACTTACTTACTTACTTACTTACTTACTTACTTACTTACTTACTTACTTACTTACTTACTTACTTACTTACTTACTTACTTACTTACTTACTTACTTACTTACTTACTTACTTACTTACTTA